AGAGAGAGAGAGAGAGAGAGAGAGAGAGAGAGAGGCGTGTATTCATTAATTCTCTACAATTTTTTGTTTTTTCCTGTTAAATATCCAATTTTTTAAAATTTCAGAACATAATATATTATAAAGTTTTCCAAGAGACTAGGTTTCAAGGATTCTCACTACACACAAAAAATGGTAACTTATGATTTCACTTATATGTGGAATTTAAAAAACAAACAAAATAGAATCAAACTCATAGATAGAGAACAAATTGATGGTTGCCAGATGGGAGGGTGGTTGGGGGAATGAGTGAAAAAGGTGGAAATAATTAAGAAGTAAAAATTGCTAATTATAAACATAGTCACAGGGAATATAGTCAATAATATTATACATAATAACTGTACATATGGTGTCAGAGGGTACTACAGAAGGTATGCAATGTGAATGATTATATTATTCACCTGAAACTAGTATAATATTGTATATCAACTATAAGTGGAAAATAAATTCATTTTTAATGGTAACTATGTGAGATGATGGATATGTTAATTATCTTGGTTGTGATAATCATTTCACAATGTATACATGTATCAAAACATCACCTTAGCCCTAGCCAGTTTGGCTCAGTAGATAGAGTGTCAGCTTGTGGACTGACGGGTCCGGTGTTCAATTCCAGTCAAGGACATGTACCTTGGTTGCAGGCTCCTCCCTGGCCCTGGCCCTGGCCCTGGTTGGGGCCCATGCAGGAGGCAACCAATCAAACATCGATGTTTCTCTAACACTGATGTTTCTCTCAATCTTTCCCTCTCTCTTCCACTCTCCCTAAGACTCAATGGAACAAATATCCTCAGGTGAGGATTAACAAAAACAAAATCACCTTAAATATACACAAGTTTATACCTTAAGTATATACACTTGTGCATCTTAAATATATACAATTTTTATTTGTCACTCATACTTCAATAAAGCTGGGGGAATTTTTTAAAAAGAAGTCAGATCTCTACAATTATTCAAAGTAGAATTTGTGCATTAAAGTAAATGAAAATAATTGGAAACTTTATCAATCTTCATAAAGCCCAGCCCTCATTCTGTACTTCCCCTACTCAAATGTCAGCAATCATTTCTACCAAAATTAGTTCAAATTTCTCGTCTGGCATTTGAGACTCAACACAATTTCATAACAACCTACCTTCTAGGCTGATCCTGAAAAGCACCTGCTTGAATCAAGTCATCCTAAATAAAAGGTGCACTTAGGTGTCATAGTCTATCCTCAGATCTCTAAACAAGTAACTTTGCAGCCTGAAGTGGCTGTGTAGGTAGCCTTGCAACTCCAGCAAAGGAGAAAGATAATTAGAGAGATTACAAAAAAGTTAATCACACAGTATTAAATCTGGGTGGAGGGGTGGCTTAAGTACTAAAGTTTATAAGTTTTGTGATCATCGTACTACTCTGTGTATATTTTGTTTTTTAAAGATTGTTTCAAACACTAAATATGATTTGATATACAAGTAATTGAAATTTAAAGCTTGATTTATAACATTTATGAGATACTAATAAGCCTACTGTAAATGTATAAGATTGAGCAAAAAAGGGATTAGGATTCAAATTCAGGAGGAACTATGGCAGTGAAGGACTCAGAACATGCAAAATTCCTTAAGTAAAAATTTATTAACTTTAAATAATTGTGCCTATGTTACACATAATTTTTTTAAAAACTCTTTATACTTTTTGCAAAAAAATATTAGATAGATGGATATATGTTACACATGAATGTAGTGTGTTATGTTAAAGCACATGTGTGCTATAATGTACAAATAAAATGTATTTTTAATATTACACATGTTTTTCTAATGATTTCATAACATTTAACAATACTTAACAATAGAGATTCATCTCATTATATTCACTTTATTCTTTAAGTCACAGCCCAGATTTTTAGTATTAATAGTTACACTACAAATGCTTAATGAAAATGTTAACTTTGATCAAGAACTGCATCTAATCAATCTAAAAAGCTAGCAGGCATCAAGTCCTAAAAATGTATCAAACCCATTCAAAGGCAGATGATTTGCACAAAGATATTTGCCAAGTTTAGCACTCGATCAGAACTCATTGAACTGAGCTTAATTCTGTGATGTTATAATTTGACAGCCCTTGACTAAATTAGGACTTTTTAACTTCTGAATCACACTCCAAAATGGCCAAATTTAAACAATCAGGAAGAAGCCCATCACTCCTAGATCAAGTAGCTTAGAAAAGTAACCTTTGAAGATTTTAAGTGAAAACTAGGCCTTGACAACTCTATGATTCTGTTAGATGAATGAAAAATATAGGGATTCCATTTCTCCTTTAGGAGAAAGAGAACTTGGTTAGAACTTTGGATTTTATTTCATCTTGAACATTCGAAAAATTGAACTAATCCTCTAGAATCTGGGTTCATCATCAAACTCTTGTGTCCTGTACTATTTAGAAAGGGATATCTCATTTGGGAAATGGGACTGAAAGATTTCCTTTCCTATATAACAGGATGGAAAATTTGTTCTAAAGATAGGAGACATTCTTTAATTTTAGTTTAGTTTACCATAGAGTTTCTCATAGTTGAATGTATATAGCCATTCTATTCCTTCTTGTTCCACATAAAAAGTAGAGAAATTTTACAGATTAGATAGGTAATAAAATTAGAATTAATGTACTCCAGGCCAAAAAAATGCACCTTTATTTTACTTATTGGTAGCACTAATTTTATTTTTAGATATCTTTCAGAGAATATGACAACATATTACTTCATTTAAAAAACATGTATATAATTTATCATTTAATTATTCTGATATAACTGATTTTCCTCATTTAGAATGTGCATCATGGCCAGCACCCTCACCTGATATTAAAATTCCTCTTTATAAAAAAATTAAATAATTTAATATAGAATTTGGAGAATATGCACTTGGCTATGTTTGTTTGATCACCATTATATACACCTTTATTTTCTCCTTAATGTATGGACATATTATTCATCTCTAGAAAAAATGTTTTAATGTAATTACTATGGCATTGTAACGATGTGTAAAGGGGGACTTTAAAAAGATAAGTATCCTATTTCTAGTATTCCAAAGGGTAGCCTTATGACTTTGGTTGAATAACTTTTATATTCTGTGTAATATGAAGGAGTGTACGTGGCTTACAATAGGGCCATCTCTGCAGGTGTGAGCTCACTAACCTCTTCACTTATCTCCCACATCTCACTTTTATACAAGGCAAAATGAACACCCGAGGCAGATTTGAAAGGGAAAAGGAATCACAAGAATCATAAAAGAAGAGCAGAGTTGAAAAAGGAAAGGGGAAGTTCCATTATTATTTTTTTTTTGGAGAATGTTGTTTGTTTGTTTTTAAATATTTTTTTATTGATTTTTTACAGAGAGGAAGGGAGAGGGATAGAGAGTTAGAAACATCAATCAGTTGTCTCCTGCACACTCCCTACTGGGTATGTGCCAGCAACCAAGGTACATGCCCTTGACCGGAATCGAACCTGGGACCCTTGAGTCCGCAGGCCAACGCTCTATCCATTGAGCCAAACCGGTTAGGGCTTGGAGAATGTTTTATGGACTATTCTATGCCAACACCTGGAAGACCCAGTGCTTCAGTGAATCTCTGCCAGCCACTCCTCCTCACCGCAGCACTTTGGTATTACTTGTCAGTGCATTTTATGGAGCACTTTGTCCTAAACATTATTCCTGAAAGTGCCAACTATAAAGGAAACAAACCCTTATCTATGCCTCTCTGTCTCACCGCCTCCCTGCAGAGGTCATTCTTTGGCTAGTCAAGCACTACTATTATCTAAATAGTCCTGAGCTCACATGGAATACATAACCTTTCTTATTCATACCTGATTCCAACTTTTGCTCATATCCTAAATTTAAGGTACAAGCATAAACTTCTTATCTCTTCTTTATAATTTCAGTTACTCTATAATTCTAGCCTTAGTGGAAATAAAGACTAACTGTTCTCCTGGCACATTCACATTACCTTTAAAGCCCTGTCTGCTAAGCAGATGCTTGTTGATTTGCAGGAGGTGGAAGAAAGGAAGCGTCAATGGACTAGGCAAGTCCAACAAAAGTCACAGGGAAGAATATGAAAAGCATTTGAGCCAGGATAGTTAGAGATGGAAACCCCAAATGACAATATTAGATTCAAAAACAAATTCTGAGAAATAAGCCTAAGCCTAGAGCAGAGATCTCCAGAGCACCCCACAGACGCCTGTAATGGGCAGTGGCAGCTAATTCCCATCTGTTCTGCATTCCATATGTTGTCACTCATGCAGGTCAAGCAGGTGTCTTCACTTAGCTAGAATTCACCATAAAGAAAATGTTTGGTATTCTGTTTTTATCCATTCTCCTCACATTTCTTGCTCATGAACATCAACTTTCTATGATTGTTATTTCAATTAGCTCAAGCTCTTACCTCCCATATTTACTGTATGGGACTATAATACTGGTGTCTTCTTCGGGAAATCACCCAAAAGCAATGAAGAGAATGAGAAATAGAAAGTTAAGCTCCAGTTTTAATAAAATTCAGAGGCTTTTCTAATTCTAAAACATAATACATGAGGATGGGCTGCCAAAGGCACTAAAGGTCAAACAGAGGTAGAAAGGACACCCAAAGAGGAAATATTTAGCTAAGATCTCAAGCAAAGCTATCAGAGCATGAGTCTCCAGGGCAACCGAAGAGGTGTGTAGGCTGTATCCAGAAAGAACAGGAAAGGTAGAAGTAAACCAGGATTCACTGTACTAGTATATACACTATATTTTTAGGAAGGTTTTAAGAAGTAAGGCAGAATAGAGTACATTATGGACAGTGCTATGGCTGACAATCTCAGGTGTCTGGGAAGAAATAAAGTAAAAATAATGTACCCATACAACCCTGTACCATAGGTCACAAGAATTTCACTTGTTAACAGTCATTTTCTACAATGTGGTGCAGAAAAGACTCTACCCATTTAAGAGTAAAGAAAAAATAAAAAGCAACCACTGAATAAACATCAGCACAATACCACCAAAAAATGAGAGAGAGAGAGAGAGAGAGAGAGAGAGAGAGAATGGAGAGATGGAAAACAAATGGCAAAGAATACTCACAAGAAAAATATTATCAAAGCAAAGTTTAAAGCTTAAACTGCTTCTGTAAAACACAATCTCAAAGTGAGATTCAAGAGTTCAAGCAAGAGTTCAATCCATATCAAAATCTCAATGATTTTTTGGCAGAAATTGAAAAATCCATCCTAAAAATCATATGGACTCTCAAGGGACCCTGGAAAAAGAGGAACAAAGTTGGAGGTCACACATTTCCTGATTTTAAAACCTACTACAAAGCTATGGTACTAGAATAAATAGAGACATATAGATCACTAGAAAAGAGACCAGGAATATATCCTCACATATTTAATCAAATGATTTCAACAAATGTGCCAAGACCATTCAATAAGGAAAGGTGTCTTTTCAACAAATGGTGTTGGAAAACTAGGTATCCACATGGAAAAGAATAAATTTGAACTCTTCCCTAACACCACATTCCAAAATTAACTCAAAATGAATCAAATATTTAAATGTAAGAACTAAAATTCTTAGAAGAAAAAAATAAGGGATATAACACCAAAAGCACAGGCAACAAAAGCAAAAAATAAATAATATGGACATCAAAAGTAACAATTTTGTGCATCGAACAACACTATCAACAGTGTAAAAAGGAAACACATAGAATGGGAGAAAATGTTTGCAAATCAAATATCTGATAAGGGATTGATGCACAGAATACATAAAGAACACTACAACTCAACAATAGCAACAACAACAACAAAAAATTTTTTAAATCAATAAATGAATAGACATTTCTCCAAAGAAGATATACAAGTGGCCAATAACCTCATAAAAAGATGCTTAACATCATTAATCATTAGGGAAATGCAAATCAAAACCACAATATTATTTTACTTCACACCTCTTTAGATGGCTGTTATGACAGTAACAGAAAATAGCATGTGTTGGCAAGGAAATAGAGATATTGGAACCCTTGAGCATTGCTGGTGGAAATGTAAAATGCTAAAGCCACAGTGGAAAATAGTAATATGGCAATTTCTCAAAAAATTAAACATAGGATTTTCATATGATCCAGCAATTCCACTTCTGGTTATATACCAAAAGAATAGAAAGCAACGACTCAAAAAGATATTCGTACACCCGTGTTCATAGCAGAATTATTAACAATAGCCAAATGTGGAAGCAATTCAAGTGTTTATCGACAGATAAACAAGTAAACCAACTGTGGTGTGTGCATTGAAGGAAATACTATTCAGCCTGTAGGTGAAGGAAATTCGGACTAACTTTGAAAACCTTACGCTAAGTGGAATAAACAAGTCACAAAAGGACAAATACTATTGATTCCATTAATATGAGGTATCTAGAGCAGACAAATTCATAGAGACAGAAAGAACAGTGGCTGCCAGAGGCTGAGGGGAAGAAGAAGGGGGAACTCTGGTATCATAGGTACAGAGTTTCAGTTTAGAAAGATGAAAAAAGTTCTGGAGAGGGATGGCGGTGATGGTCACACTACAGTGTAAAATACTTAATACCACTGAGATGTACACTTTAAAAATGGTTAAAATGGCAAATTTTGTGTTATAAAAAAAGTGATTCGTTATAAATAAGAAGTTCAATAAATTAAGCAAAAAGGCAGAGAGGTATGTCAATGCCAAGGATAGAGTTATAAATGGTCTTAGAAAATGGATTAGAAAAGGCAGTGGCTGCCCTAGCTGGTCTGGTTTAGCAGATAGAGTGTTGGCCTACGGACTGAAGAGTTGGATTCCAGTGAAGGGCACATGCCTGGGTTGTCAATCCACAGTAGGGGGCATGCAGGAGGCAACCGATCAATGATTCTCTCTCATCATTGATGTTTCTCTCTCTCCCTCTCCCTTCTTCTCTGAAATCAATAAAAACATATTTTAAAAAAGAAAAGAAAAGAAAAGGCAGTGGCTGATACAATGGAAAGAACTCAGAAACTCTATTTCTCATCTCTACCACTCTCCATCCTCTGCTTCCTTCTTCTCTCTCACTTAAGTCCTGGTTTGTAAAAGGGTGTCCCAAAATTCACGCAAGAAGTAATTTTGATAGAAAACACATGTTTATAAATAAAAATTGTAAATTTTTTATTGATTCATAAAGAATACAGTATAGGGTTATGTATGGAATAGGATATCAGGTAAATGGCCTCCACAGCTTTGCTGGCACATACACACTCTTTTGTTGAAATTTTCCATGACCGTTTTGCATAAATGTGGCTGAATTTCAATGAGGCTCATTTTCATTTTGATGGCTTGGTTAATTGACAAAATTGTCACATTTGGGGTTCAGAAAATCCACGAGTGATTGTTGAGAAACAAATGCATCCACACTGTGTCACTGTTTGGTGTGGATTTTGGGCTGGAGGCATCATCGGACCATTCTTCTTCAAAAATGCAGCTGCTCAGGCAATAACAAAAGAGTGTGTATGTTCCAGCAAAGCTGTGGAGGCCATTTACCCAATATGCTATTTCATACACAACCCTATACTATATACTTTATGAATCAATAAAAAATTTACAATTTTTCATTATAAACCTGTGTTTTCTACAAAAATTACTTCTTGCGTGAATTTTGGGACATCTTTTATCTTCTCAATTTGGGAGAATAGCCAACTGTCCAGAATCTCTTGGTCTCAGAGATTTTACAAGGGACATATTGGCCCATATTGGCCCAATTGGCTGTGAAGGCAAAGACATGTTGTATGAACTTGGCTGTTCCCATTATAATCACAAGGAGGTGGGGAGCAGGGAAAATGGATTGAATGTTACCAAAGAAGGGGAAATGTTGTGAGCTGGGTAGACAACTGCATAGCTATTCACTGCAAGGACGCTTACATAGTTAGCTTTTCCTACTTTTCCAAATTTCTGTTTTTCTCTCCCCACCCCTTGCTCCTAGTAGCCTAATTTATTGAAGATTCTCATACCCTCCAAGCTCACTGGCCCACTCACACATGCCTAAAGTAAAATGCTCTGTACTGGTGATGAATTTACCTGTCTCAGTCCCTTTTCAACAAGGGTTTACCCCCCATTCTCTGCAACTCAAAGCAGCTCATTTGGCTAATGCAGCACTCTTAAGTTGATACATGGTCCTCCTGGGATGACCCTATTTGCATTTCCAGAGGACTGTCTGGGTATGATACTTTATTTCTCTGTGCCACTGACAAGTATTTTAAGGCCAGCACTTCTCTACCCCCTTCAAATCCTGGCATGCAGAAAAACTGACATTGGCAACTGAGTTTGGATCAGTTGTGTTTGCTGAACAATTCGTAAAGATAACTGTAGGATCAAAATTGTATAAATTTATAATTACATATGTATATATACTTTTTAATGAAAATATCAATCTTAGTGTCTATAAATTTCATTATTATAATGAAAGAATAAGACTTAAAGGAGTAAAACATATATTATTAAATTAACTACCAAAAAAATGGTTTCCATAGAAAAAGAAACTCAAACAATGCAAATAGCATAGAGGAAAGAGTTTGAGCAAATCAAAGCCAGATGATGAAAGCTGAAAACCAAAGGAAGAAAGGATGGTACACAGATGGTTGAAGAGCAGAATAGAAGCAGCAAAATACAATTCAGGACCACAGAGGCTAAATTTTTACTGCTCACAATTTTTCAGGGAAGCCAACTGATTGGAAAGACGTCTGTCCTAAACAAGAAAATAGCCAACTAGGGTGCTGATGTAACTCAGTGGTTAAGAATGTGGTCACTGGAGTCATAGTGTTGAGTACAAATAAGTGCTTACCTCATTTGTTTGCTGCGTGTATTAAGAAATAATACATGTAAGTCATCTGCATTACATTTCGTTAAGTACTATTTCAGCAAATAGTAGCTATATTACTTGAAAGTAACATTGAGTCAAATATAGAAAATGACATCCTAAACC